TCCATTCTAATATTCTCCATCCATAACGCGGCGCCCGGTGCATTTATCAAGCTGATATTTATGTGAAAGCTCGGCCCGCGTGCTTTTAGCGACCGTTTTCTTCCTGCTCGAGATTGCTCGGATAACGAAGCGATCGGAGAGGCCGTGGAATTTTCTTGCGCCAGATGGTTATTTGTTTAATTGCGATAACGATTACTGGGCGTGGGAAAGTGGCGATAGAAAATCCTGCCACTTTCGTGAATCGATATTCCGTGCCGGCCTCGTTATCGAATAATCGTTCCGATATACCAGTTTGGAAAAATAAAAATCGAAACGAGCAAATTGAAACCTGTAAGTATCGCGGAACGAATGGGAAGAATTCTTAAAAATTAGGAAAATTATTAACACTTTGACTGCCAGGCACTTTTCATATGGTGCACTCGGGGGGTCGTTATAAAATTTCCATTATTCTTACGACATAATGACGAATTATCATACAATATGGTAAGAAAAAGAAAAAGTGGTGCAAATTATTAACCCCTTCCCGTGCCATTTAGCTCGGCGAATCCGGGCCCAAATCATAGGCGTTAACGCGAGGTTAAACAGACCAGACTGATGCTTGAAAGCAGTTGCAATATGTAAATACGTGTGATATAGTCAGTTTTACGCGATGCTACTGATATGGAAGTAAACTCTAATCATTTTTCCTTTTATAAATATTATAAATATATTATATTTTATACTAGATGGCAGTTTTAAAACTATATTTAGAAACATAGTTAGTTATATTTAGACTATATTTAGAAATACAGTTCGCGAGCCTGCCTCGTGATATTCAGTTTGGTCCAAAATCCCCATCACGAGTCAGGCTCGTGAAAATACGCGAAGGTGTTAATGTCTCCTGTTCAAAGTTATTTATTTATTTACGTTGTTTAAATTTTCAAAGAATCAATTTTCTTTAGAATAAAACAAATTTAAATTTTAAAAAATTAGTATCGCTGAACACCGGTGACCACCATGGCTCCACTGAGGAGATGAGCTCCGATTACGATGACTGTTGACCACCGTGGCAGTCAAGGTGTTAAGACGTATCGCCTAATAGTCTCGCGTTTTACTCGTTCCCTGTGAAATGCAACTAGAAATATTCGCTACTAGTGGAAAGAGGAAATTGGAAGAAATTAAACGATGCATTTAATTACGATCGGTGTAAACATCTCTGCTTGCATCGCGATGAAGTCTCGGCTCTCGATCTCGTCGCAATAAAACCCTAGTTACCCGTCTGGCTGCGGGTCCGCGTTATTATAACCAGCCTGGCGATTAATCATCGAGCACGAGCTTCCCATTGTCCTGACACGGGTGTTGCATTGTGCGCCCGGAGCCAGCAGCTGACTTACGTGGGACAACGGAATATAACTATCACGGCGTTGTCCATCGGATTCTTATCGGTGACTAATCTGTACTCCAATGTATCTATCTTTCTACCGTTTAAACGATCGCGCCACACCGCTAATTCCCTGCTCGATGCGCCGCTGACGCAACCGCAACCGTTTAATTCGTGCTCCTGACCACGATTATCCTCGGAAATTAGCCTGTCACACGAGCCACTGCGTCCGCAGCGACTCGGTCTTTAGCAAATGGAAGAACTCGGTATTCATTAGCGCAGCAAAGTGCTTAAACGCGTTCGTATCTGGTAATTTCATTCGGAGTAAATGGGAAAAGTAAAACGGAAAACCCCGAACAATATCGTTAGCCTAGAATTTTTCCATTAGATGGCTGAGAGCTTCGAAATTCGAGACATAAAAGAAACTAAGGAGTTACATTCAAAGACGTTCCTCCCCATCACCGGTCTTCGACGATCGTTCAACTCGGCGAATTTAATTAGCCGGTAATTAAATTCCAGCGAACGCGAAAGTGAAATTCAGCTGCGAGATCCTCGTCAACAGGCCGTGCACTTTAGCCTGTTCGTGATCCTCGGCTACGACGCTCGAGGACCTCTGAAGCACCTTGTCCTCGCAGCAGGGATTGCAATCGATATCGTCTTACGATAGCGCGATAGTAAGCTCGTGCAAATTGAATGCACAGTTAGTCAAAGATAATTCGAGGTCCAGTTGCAGCGTGCACGGGAATGTAATTAAAAGAGGCTTCGCGGCCTGCTGCGGGACATGTCTGTGCAGCGAAATAAGTACAAATGAATAGGCTCCTTTGTACCCTGCGCGGAGGAAGAATCCGCGGTGAAAGAGACGGTATTACGAGGATCGGGGGAGGAGGCAATTTTTCAGTTTCATCCCGAGTTCGATGCTTGCCGGCGCATTAAAAGGATCTCTTTAAAAGGAACGCGTGCACGAATATTATTCGCCCGTTTGATTAATGATAGACGCGCGTATCAGCGTCTCGGTATCTCAGCGACGGGATCACAATTCGACCTAGCCGCGAGTAGGTTTAATCAAGCTTTTCATTACGCGCGCCATAGCGAGCGCAGCGGCGCTTGATAGATCGCTCGGACGTCGAAGGTGATGCGATCTTTTGGTCGCCGCTATCGGCTATGAAACGTGAGTCAGTCGAATCCTCGGTACTCGCATGTAAATTCGAATCGAACGGATCGAGCCTGGTCCCATCCCGAATGAAAATAGCGCGAAGAAGGTGTCAGCCTGTTCGTCCACGATCCATCGTCCCGCGAAGAGAATAACGCGAATAATCTTTGGCCACTTGCCGCAGTTCGGAAATCACGCATTCTACTACGTGTCCGTGGATAATGATCGATGAGGAAGAAGGAAAGATTTTTCTACTTCTCCCTGGTCACCGAGCAGTGCTAGCTTCTGTAACACTCGGGTTTCGCTGCCCCGGTTCGAAAGTTAGTTTTTGATGGATGGAAGCTTAGCCTGAAACTCGGGTTCCCAGCGAGTTGCCTGAAAATTAAGAGTTTTGACAGAGTGTTGTCAAAGGCAACCGGAGAAAGTTGCGTTAACGAAACGGTGGATCGTGGAAGACTGGAGTATCATTTTCTATTAAGCGGTACTCGAACCGCTGATTAAATTCGTGGCTCACCTGGCGAGCGCGTGAAAGCGGTAATTATCGATTTATCGAAGTTTAACCGGAATCACCGAGATAGAGACCGTTGGGATTTTCGCCGAGAAAGGAAACGCGCGTGCATAGAGACATCGGAAGTGAACGCGATGCAAAAGGTCCGTGGGGTTCCATAACTCGCGCGACGCGATAAATATCCTTTTCAGGACTCGCAGAGAGACGTGGTATTAAAATCAGCGACACCAGTTACACGTGAATTTCATGTTTCCACGTTAGCAGCGCGATACGTAAGGTCCTCGTTACAACGCCAGCCGGCAGCTAGACACTATATCATCATTAACTGGGCAAGTTCTCCTCTAGCCACGTTATTATCGCTTACATAACCTTTTTAACTATTCCAAATCGCTTCCATTACGGCGGCACGGTGTCGTGAAACCGTGGCAACACCGATCGGTAAACGCGTCCATGAGATTAGCAGGAGCGAACGGGTAGAAAAGTCGAACAAGTGTCGTACAAACTGAACAGGTTTCTAAACCGGTGATCGAGGTTAATTGACCCTTGTCTACGGCGAAGATCAGCCCATAAATTAGAGGCATCACTTTCTATGGCCAGTCGTAGGCAACGCGCCGCTCGGAATAATGGGAAAAGGCTAACAGTTGCTTCGATTTTTCCTTTCCACGTCGTTTATCCAGAACATTCGGCACTTGTCCTGTCAGCGTTATAACCGCTTCATTATCGACCACTTTGTGTACCCACCGTGGTCGATTTCAGCTTTACCACGCCACCTAATTCAAACGAATTAGTTCCATTCCTCGAGTTCGGATTTATCGACGACGGTAGCCGAGCAGACGAGCCCTGATCCCGGCGACCGAGAGCCCCCCGCTTTTCACGGGGCGCCAGCAGAGTAGGGGTTCGAATAGCTAGGAAGCAACGTCTAGCGTTGTTACCGCGTTATTATTTCTTCGGCGTTCACGCCACGATCCGTATTCGATTGTGATTTCGTTAGCTGACATTTCAGTTCGATGCTCCAGCCTGGCGCTGTTATTAAGTTGCGAGACGCACCGTTTCTTTGGCCGGTATTAGTATCGTCCTCGGACGGTTGCTGTAACATAATCGAGCGAAACGAGCCTGGAAGGAATCGTAATGCCGTCGACTATTACAACGTACACGTTTTCCTTTCGTTTAAATGCCGTTGTTTCGCGTCAGCCGATGAAAGATTCGTTCTGCTCCTTGCTTTCCGCGATTCCGTTCTTCCCGTTGATGGGAAATTTGCATTCGAAACGCAGCCGAGAATAATCGACTGGAAATCGACGGTGGGGATTAAACTCGGTCGTTTCTCCTGCACCTGACAGGCAATTCTTGCCATTAAACACCGAGTGTTTCGTAACTTTTGAATAAAGATGTCTCTATATATCTTAACGCGTCAACCCTTTGCGGACGAGCGCCGCATATATGCGTTTGGTGAAAATGGCGAATTGGCGTTACTATGGCCGAGAAAAATATATGCGGCCCTAGGATCACACGTCCCAAAGTTAAGTGGTGGGCCGTTTTATTTCCCTATTGCCAGCTATGAAGGAAAATCACGTTTAAGTAGAAATGAGCGCTGGTAGTTTTAATGACTATGACGGCAGCGTTTACTGAAAACCGCTCCGTCCGCAAAGGGTTAAACGCCTCGTAGGTCCCTAGACTTTCCGTTCAGGCCTCGTCGGTCCTTGAGTACTTGGAAGGGCCCGTTTGACGGAAAACTGTGGCGTGAAGGGAACGACACGCAAAACCGGCGTGGCGTTTAACGCGTCAACAGAAAATTTTTAATTCCCCTTTCTAATATTCGAGTACTCGTTTCGAGAATACGCTCTCAACGGATTGGCCAGTCCTAACTGTTCGACTTGCCAATTTTATAGCGCCAGAAACGAGCCTTCGATGTCGCGTATAGTCGAACAAGCGTCGCTCTCGTCGTATTACTCTAACCGTGTCTGGTCTCTGCTTTCTGCCAACAGGAAGAGATCGGTGAAATTATCGAGTCAGCGCCGACGACTCCCCTGATCGTCGCAGACGAGCCAAAGTATCCGACGGAGCCAACGCCGGTGCAGCAGGCCAGCTACGCGAGCGAGCTGTGCAACGCGAAATCCTTGTCCGCGAAAAGCTGCGGGTTCAGACGACAGAACTCCGCAGGCAGGAGCAGCAACGCCGCGGAGGACATAGGCGATTGGTCGAACAGCATCCTGGCGGAGTTCAACACGATCATCGCGAACGAGATCGACGAGCTGACGAAAGAGCTCGAGCGGAAGAGGAAGAAGGAAGAGCGAAGGATCGTGCAGTACAAGGAGCTGCTGAACGAGTTCGGCATATCGGACAGCGAGAGTTCCGCTGGAAGCTCGTGCGAGGCGAGCACCGATCGATCATCGTCCCGGCCGAACAAGGAGAACCGTGATCGACGAAATGGAAAGTTGTTCAGCGACGAGACAGGCTATCGCTTCCTGTTGAGCTCGGACTACGACGAGCCGCGGGACCGGGTCGTTTCCGCGGAAAACGAGCGGAGAAAGAGCGGAAGCCTGCCGGAGGACCTGCAGCGCGTGTTCGTCGCACGCGGAAGATACCCTGAACTCGGGGATGTCCTGAACTCGGACTACGACGAGCCGAATAATTCGCCAGCGATGAGCTTCGTGGACGACCACGGGCAGATCGATCGGAACACTTCTAGTCTACCGTCGAAACTGGATCGCGGACACGTGCAGAAATATGAGGAGGGTTCGCGCGCCAAGTACCTCGGAAACAGTTACGACCAACCAAAGAAACACGTAGAGATAAGTTCGAAGACCAATGAAGACGTGGACGAGAAGAGGGCGACCGGGCCTTCGCGGATCGGTCCGGGCAGCCGGCTCGGCATCGACGCGGATAAAACGATCGACGATTCGAACGCGAAATTACCACCGAGACAACGCTCGGACGCCCACAGGAAGAGCAGTCTTCCGGTGAATTTGGCGATCCAGAAACGAAGGAGGACGCCCAGGTTGGCGAGGATCCGACGCGCCGACGAGCAGAACGCGATGGATCCCGAGTACGACCTGGACGAGGATAAAATTCCAGTTGGGCCCAGGTCGTTGGACGGTAACGGGCCTAAATCGGCACCGGTCACGCCAACGGAGGAGAAGAAGTCCCCGTTCTCCAAGTTCCTCTGGAAGAAACACACGCCGGTCTTCCACGAGAACACGGAGGACGTGGTCCTCGTCAGAGTGTCCTCGTTGCCCGATCAAGACTTCCTTCAGTTGGACAACGATACGGATGGACGATCGAAGAACGGTCGGAGCGACTCGAAGGATAGCCTCTCGAAGAAGAGGGCCGTGTCGCCTTTGACTCTGCGCTCGGATATATCGGCGAAACGATTATCCGAGTCCGACAAGGACGTGAGACAGGTCAGTCCGGTGGATTTGAAAAAGTTCTCGCTTTCGAGGTCCAGGGGGAACGACGTGGGTGTGAACTGCGATCTTCCGGAAGACGACAACGCTGGCTCCATCGGCAGCGTGGACAGCGGGAAGTTCGATCGGGTGGAGAACGTGGACGTGAAGAAAATACTGGACGAGCAGAATTCCAGATCCGGTTCGGTGAGTATTTATGAGTTTTCTTTCTTATCTTCCCGAGCATTCGTTTCCAATATTACGAGCTACCATGTGCGTCCGATCTATTTTCCTTTTCTCCCCGCGGACCCACTGCCTGGGTATTTTAATTCCCATGGTGAACAGTCTCGATATACTTTCGAAACGCGATTTATTTCCCGCGACTTCGTGTCTAAGCGCACTTACTCAATTGGACTCGAAGGTGTTTCTCACTTCGTTGCACTCCGAGGTGTATTAAGAAATATACACACGGATATATCACTTACGCGTTTACGAAACCGTGATTCATAGTGGAAATTATTACCAAGCTTCGATATTGTATCGTCTCGTGGAAATTCGCAGTAGAAGAATGCTACTCGGTGAGCGAGTATAACGCGGTTCTGAATATCGGAAATAGGAACCTGTTATTCGAGCCTGTTATCCGAGGATACCCCGTGTTTACGAAGTTTGACACGAAAGCTTCTTCCGAAAGAATATCTTCAGCGGGTTTCGATTAAATTTATTTTCCCTGTAAGCACCGGTTGCAGAAAGCGGATGATAGCACGTTACCGGTAACGAGATCGGATCTGTACTTCGAGTAACGAAGTGAAATACTTTCAGCTACCGATTTCTCTTCAATCCCTGTTATCGAAGATCCGAAACGGCTCTGGTTCGTGCTGCCCCAACAGCCCGCCGATGGATTCGCTTACTTGTTCCGACATGGCGACGCAAACTTCGCCAGCTATTTCCAGGAGTTCCAGCTTCACGTGGGTCAGCGATTGCGACTCTCCACGAGGTAACTCTCACGTCTATTACACCGTTCTTCTCCCCCGTCTCGAATCCGTCGTCGCTTTGACTTTTGCTTCTGTTCCTGCTTCCGTTTATAGTCGGTCTAGCGAAACGGGGCTAAATGATTCCGAATTCTCGTTTCGCGGTTTATCTATTATACTATTACTATTATATTATCCATGTAGTCGATATTAGAACACGGTATCACGAATAGTCACGAATAGTCACGAATAGTCACGAATAGTCACGAATAGTCACGGATAGTCACGGTCACGAATAGTCACGAATAGTCACGAATAGTCACGAATAGTCACGAATAGTCACGAATAGTCACGGACAGTCACGGATAGTCACTGATAGTCAGGAATACTTATGAATAGTCACGAATAGTCACGGATAGTCACTGATAGTCACGAATACTTACGAATAGTCGCGAATAATCGCGAATATTTTCAAATTAGAATTTTATCTAACAATTCTCTGATTAATCGACACGCGATAACGCGAAAAATTCCAAAAATGCAGAAAAATTCGAAACGTTTCCATTCCTAGAGCAGAATTCCACGGAAACGACGTTCGTCTCTTAGCTTCCATCCTCGGTTTCCGTCGCGCCGGACTCGCGGAAGTAATAGAAAACTGCGAGCGCGATAGTCGGACACGAGCGTATTATTCTCGTCTGTAAATGAATGTTCGCAGCGGAATCGCAGATGGATTCGCAGTCGTTGCAAGACGAGAGCACGTTGGACCCTGCCTCGCCGCAAGACACCGTGGACGACGACAATAGATCGTCGTCGTCGTCGCAGGATCTTCTGCAGAGCATGGACGAGATTTCCTCCGGAAGCCTGTCGCCGGATACGACCGACAGAGCATCTCCGCTCGAGAGCGGCATAGGCACAGCCAGTCCTCCTAGAAGCACCGATCGACGGATAGTTAAGCGTAAGTCGATTATGGTTTCTTCAAACGGAATTACGCGTTGCCTACTACCCTCGACAACGTCGTTCTTTAACGCTTAACCGTGCAATTTGGAATGTTTTATGGCGGAGATTGCGCTGTGAAAGAATCAGTCGGAGGTTTTACTCGCTTGGAGATACTCATGCTGGGTGACGGATCTTTGAGGGGAATTAATGCGTTTGTGAAATAATAAAAGCATTTTCTTTTTGAAATTTTTAGCCTCGAGTGGTCTTCTAGTGGGCTTGAAGTGCGTCTGCTTGTTTGCTTCTGCGTTTACATATTGTTTAAAAAATTGGTACGCATTGGGAAATTAATTGTACATATTTCTAACCTTGGCTACCTTCTGCATCCTTAATCCTTGATCATTGATTCATATCGACGAGGTCTAACCGACTCACATTTATCACATCCACTCGTGTAATCGATATCTTTTTATTAACTCGTGTAAGGTGTGTCTGTTTCTATGTAACAATTAACGCGATGCCGATTTTTGAAGTATAGAACTTATACGAATAATCCCCCTTAATCTCACCCTAATACACTCGATTTCCTTGCGAATGTCTGGACACTGGGTGTCAGTAATTAAGGGCTAACGACGATAATAAAAATACTGGATTCTAATCACGAAAGGATCTAATTTTAATCGAGCTCCATCCATCGCATTCTCCTCGTCCAACGTCGCTCGAGATAATCCCAATCTGTATACCTCTGCTGACACAATCGCAAGAGCAGCTGGAATACCATCCTAGACATCCGAGTACCCATTCTGTCGGACATCTCAATCATAAATTAAGCTATCCCCGGGTGATCGACGCATCCTTCAGTCCCGATCCTCGCGAGCCCGAGCACTCTCGAACCTTCATTGCATCACCAAAGAGACATCTTCTCGTCGTAGCCCCGTCCTCCAGCAAGTGTCATCGCAAAGAGACCTGGGAGAGGATCCGGCGACGGCCTTCGAAGCTGAACTCGCGGAGCGACAAGCACTCGCAGGACGTTTGGATCAAACGCGAGAGCGTGCACACGCAGACGAAGGAAAACGACGATCAGTACTCGCAGGACGCGGTGGACAGCAGCAGCGGCCTCGACGACACCCTGCCGAGGATCAAGCCACCTCGGCCGACCAATCTGCCTCTGTGTGAGTTTCATTAACGTGCAACGACGCGTGGACGCGCTAATCGCGCCTCTAAACACGTCGCGCGTTCAAGGGACATGCAAATTGCGCGGCTCGAATGCCGCTCGTTTTCCAGGGGACAATATTCCGCAAGCTCAAACACCGCTTTTGTCCTGTCCGTTTGCCAAGCAATTAACCGTACCACGCCGTTTCGTCGCGAGGAAAAACCCTTTACCGAGCCAGAAAAGGTTTTTCGATGGTAATCCGCGTTACCCTCGAGCGGATGCAAATAGGCAGAGCGGACGAGTGTGTATCGCAGCGTGAGATGAGTGTAATGGAGGAGAGATGAGAGACAGAGAAGGTCTATGTGTGGCTCGAACGTGAAGGTTTCTTAATAATTTTCTCGAGTTATACGAATCGTATTTTTCTACTCGAACCACGATGAGCTCTTCGGGTTGTAATAAACTGTGCGTTTGTACGATGTTTGTACAAGGAATAGTGGTAATTGATAATAGGATGCGTGGAGAACAGAGGAAACCATTGATGTAGAAATTAGCGTATTTATTATACAAATATTGTAATATTATTTATATAATATCTATTGTCCATTCTACGCTGCTTTAGTCACAAATTATTCACAGCGTATTGGAAATATCATCGTGTAGATAATACCAGCCGGATCTCGGTTTTATCAATTCCGTTGTATCATCTCTCCTTTGTTTCATATTACTCGAAATCACAGGAGTATATCAAACATTCGAACGATGCGATTAATCCTTCCTCTGATTCTTTGTCGCCAATTCTTGATCGCCAATTCAAGATCGGTGAAGTGTTCGAAGTAATGACGTTCCGAGTGTGCATAGATTACTCGATACAACTGCCTAATTCTGATCTCTTGATCACCAGGTCTGTCCACCACGGCGAGTAGTTCGTTAAGCTCTGGAGAACTGTTGGAGACGCCTCCGAGGGCACCGTCCTCGCCGTCCGCGGCGAGCCTTCAACTGAAACCGGAACCCCTGAGCGCGGAGATGGGCGGAAAGAGCAGCAGCGCACCCCTGTTGGAGAACAACGACGCGGCGAAGACGAACGGGAAGGTGCCGGTGAGTTGTTAATTTCGTTATACATTTATCGAAATTTTCAGCCGATCCCTTAGCCAACCACCAGCGCGATTGACAGTCCACTCTCTGTCACACGGAACCAGCCGACTCTCGCGTAACGTTCTCGACCACGAATTCTCCATCGAAACGAAAATAAGCTGGTCGGAACGTTCTCTCTGTTCGATCGAAACGGCGCGATCGATCAGCGCGAACGTATCGATGATAAATCACCGCTCTCGACTGGATAGACTGACAACTGTCGAGGTTCGTGCGAGGCGGCAGCGTGTCCTGCTCGAGATATTTCTTTAAATATCGATAACAAGCCCGTGCACGAGTCCGTGAGCAGGAGACGCAAGTTCGGGGACTTAGCCGGGGGAGTATCGTCCTAGGTTCAATAGGGAGCATTAATCACGTGGCAGCAAAGCGTGTATGGCATTTGGCATCGAGATTACCAAGCGGAGATACGTTGCCCGGACTGTTACTCCGTTCGGTGATCCGCGCTTATGGGCCACCATTAGTCTCTGCCCACGTGAAGCGTGTACGTTGCGTGGCATTGACCATCGCGAACACGGTATTTGTATTTTACTCTTGGTTGTAGCGCCGCGTGTGCAGTCCGTGTGGGCCGACGGAGGCCATCGTAAGATTGACACTTTGTTGGCACGATGAACCTTAATTTCCCTTTCATGACAGGTATCTCCACCTGCTACGAGGCAAGGCGACTCGAATATCTTGCAAATTAACCGATTCGCGCTGAATCGAATCGCTCGAGCCAGCCGCGCTCTCGCTGTCATTTTCTTCGCGCTTCTTTTGCTCTTTGCTCTTGTCCCTTCTGCGTTTACGACCTTCCTTCCATTGTATTCTTATTTCCTTCTCACTTTCCACTGCTTCGAAACTTTACGCGTTCTGTATTTCGAATGGGATCGGTGTCTTATACCTAACGAAAATATTTCACGTCTTTAAATTAACCTCTTCGTCTACAACATAGCTCGAGAATCATAGCGCGGAAGTCGGGCCAAACATGGTATAAGAGGCGGGGCTTGTAGGATAAGCCGAAAGGTAAACATTGCCAGGTTCGGACAGGCTCGTGGTTAATATTCGCGGATGTTTTCCGTCTCAGTCGTGTGTTATTCTTCAAAGTGTTTGGACCCAGTGACTCGACGCGTGACCGACCTCATCGTCGATCATGGCACGACCACTGGAACTTCGATCGCAAGGTAAGGCGTCAACTCGCTTAATTTAAGCAGAAAAATTCTCAAACCAGTCAATTTAATTCGTAATTCCACTGGAGATAGAGGAACTATTCCAGACAAGATAAACTTCGTAACAGCAATGACATTTAAACGAACGCAATGGCGATAAATTCATTCCGACCTCAGCTGAAAAAATCCTATCTCGAAACTTGGAATGTTTCTATTAACCTTTCCAAGAGTACAACCTACTTCGACAATTAAAACTATCTTCGAAGACGTCAAAGTATCCTTCTGTGCAACCTGGGATAATGGAATATAGATTTTTCCCTGTTGGCAAGTTGGCGAAAGATCCCGGGGTTCACGGGAATCTCGTTTGACGAAGTGGCTCTCGAGCCGGAAGTCAGGCAAATTACAATTAGAAGTTCGGAACTGGAAGTTCCTCGCGGGCATTAAAAGAGGAAGGC